TCAGCTCAGGGTAAAGAAGACAGTGGTGATGGTCCCACCTCAGAAAGACAGTCGGGCATTCTGCGGACATGCTAACTTGGGGGTGCCCTTAGAGCTTTCTGTGGGGGAGATGTTAAGTCAGTAGTAGATACAGTTGGAAAGGGTCTGGCCAGGACACAGATGAGATGGAGAGAGACAGAGACGTGACACGGAGAGAGACAGAGACAGAGACAGACAGGGAGAGAGAGAATGAAGGAGACACAGAACAGAGAAAGAGGGATAGAAATGAGAAACGGAGAAACAGAGGCTGGCAGAGAGAGCTCGGAGTTGGGGCAGGTGCCGGGCTAGAGTCTGGGCGCAGGCCTGGGGAGTGACCCTGGGTGGCTGGGCCCCCTCCTGACCGCTCTGCCCCGCTGCCCCCACTCCCAGGCCATGCTGCACCAGGAGGGCCACATGGACGATGCGCTGTCGCTGACCCGCTGTCAACAGGAGGAGTCCCAGGCGGCCCGAATGATCCACAGCACGGCTGGCCTCTATAACCATTTCATCAAGTGAGCGCTGCCACCACGGAGGGAGGGGCAGGCCACCCCCGACCCCCGTGCTCCTGGCATTCATGCACGTGACCCCATAAACCTCCACCTCGGACATCCGCAGCCCTGTCTTCCATACCTCTAAACTGCCGAGCTCTGTCCACATGACTCCTGGTCTGACCGGACTCCCATGGCCTTGGACCTCACAGCCCTGATCACCACCTAACTTTCCCATCTCCGACATCCAGACCCTTTTACCCCGCACCTTCCCAGCGCTGACTCCTTTCGGGACCCCCTGTGCCTACACAGGATGAGTCCCAGTCCCAGCTCTGCTTCTGACCGCTGTGTGACCACGGCCGTGCCTTTCCTCCTCCGCGTCTCAGCCTCTCCCCTCTGAACAGCACGAGTGTCTGTGGGGCCCTGCGGGGAGGGGGCTCGCGGAGCGCGGGGCCGGCAGTCAGCGCTCCCACCCCCCGCTGACAGCGGCGCGGTCCCCGCAGGGGCCTGGACAGCTTCAGCGGGAAGCCGCGGGGCGCCGGGCCACCGGCTGGCACAGCGCTGCCCATCGAGGGCGTCATCCTGAGCCTGCAGGACCTCATCGGCTACTTCGAGCCGCCCTCGGAGGAGCTGCAGCACGAGGAGAGGCAGAGCAAGCTGCGCAGTCTGCGCAACCGCCAGAGCCTCTTCCAGGAGGAGGTGGGGC